GAGTTAGTCAACAAATAGGAGTACCAAATGTAGCATTTATGTAAATCTTATCTGAAATGACAATATTTCAGTTACCTTGCAAAAAGCGCCTTCTTTTTTCGCCAGTATTTTTTTCAGTAAAAAATGTACTTGGTGGAAATAATGCATGACTTTGCTACAGTTAGTAGATACGAACTGGACGATCATTTTGCAACAAGAGTTATTCAAATTGCGTAATTACATACAAAGTTCACCTTACTATCATGCGTGAAAATATGATTTTGAGAAAATAGCAGTTTTTGTCATTCATCGTCATTACATCATAAAGGTCATACCAATGATTACCAAATGTGAATACTTACTTAGACAATTCCTTGGCCTTTAATATGAGTCCTGTGGTAGAGGGTCAGGCCTTGTTCAGGTAATTTTAGGTCAACTTTATGTTAAGGTTAGGTTAGGTTAGGTTAGGTTAGGTGGGAGTGTTCTCTGAAAAGTATACTTTCAGATGTCAAGGCTCCTGGTCCCTCTGTCATTTACATATCATAGTACATAATAAATCGTATATTATGCATTTCTGATATATAAATGACATATTGTTAGGTTTTCAACAGGTTGAAAACAAAACGAGTACTCCCGAAAACTTTATCAATCGCACTGTTCTCCCGTCCTTGCTACTGCTGCCTGTCTGTTGAACGCAGCCTAAACTATCATACAGCAGTATCATACCAAAAAAATTTGAAAATACAAGAAAACCAAAGCATAAGCAAAAAGAGGTGTGGTAGCACGAGGGCTTTTAAATACTCCAGACCTTTAAACCGCGGAAAGGAGCACGTTACGCATCTGGCAACCAGCACCCTGGGTGCGTCACATGGTCATGTATCTACACACAAAGTTTGAAAAAATTGTAATTTGTGAACCGTACTGATGACTCTTCCCCTTAAAGGGTTGAAACTTATTCAGGGTTCAGGCACACCTTAAAAAGTCTTAAAATATCTTCAGTAATTTCTTAGAAATTTGAGACCTTCAAAATAAATGATAAAATAATAGAAGAAAAAGCTTGTTTGTCACATGTCTTAAATTTGCCCAAGGTATATCTTATAAGGTATATTCAAATAATATACATATATCTGTTACTGGCGGACACTGCCATGATTCATTCACTTGCGGATCTTTACACAGCTTGATCAAAAATCATTTGTCAAGTTACATTAGACCTTGAGATTTGCTGATTGACGCAACTTATGGGCTGTGTGGAAAAAAAAAAATAATAATAATAATAATCTGGCACACAATATATTCAAGAGGCTATGTAAAAATCATGTTGGGGTGTTTTTTTTTTTTTTTTTTTTTTACACAAGTAGGCCTACACATTATGGGGACAACAGGTCTTGAAAAGCAATTGGTATGTCTTGAAGGTTTTAAATTTCATCAGCTTCTACCTTAGAGAACTTTGTTACAAGATATGCAAGAAAAGTTCAAAATCTCATCACTTGAGAGATGCCTTATTTTGGGTTTAGGAAAAAAACATGTAAATTAAAATGTGATTAAACACCTTGCGACACCTGCAAAGCCTTTTAAAATTTTGTCCTTTCTTTCCAGGAACATGTTTGGTGATGAAGACTTGCCTGAATGGTTTGCAGCAAGCGAAAATAAATACAACACTAAACCCGTGGAAGTTGATCCAGTACGTTTCACATTTCGTCTTTGAAAATTAATAGTTTTTCTTTACATTAGAAAATTAATAGTTTTTCTTTACATTAAAATACATATCAAGCTTTAAAGACAGGTGGTATTGACATAAACTCTGTCTAAGGAATTTATTTTAAGGCTGCTATATTGCACCACAATTAAAAATCAACTTTTTACATTCCAGGCTGACTTGAGAATGTATCGTGATCGTGAGAAGGCTGTTAATGCCCGTACGCTTAAGAAGGTAGTAGAGGCTAAAGCTAGAAAACAACGTAAGGTGAAGAAGCACATGGAAAAGGCAAGAAAGAAGGCAGAATCTATTGCTACCAATGCAGAGATGACACAGAGGGAGAAGGTGTCGCAGGTGAAAAAGTAAGTAATGAGACAAAATCTATTGATATTAATTTTCTACTCAAACTCTGACTTGAAGTTATTAAATTAATTCCATAATTATTATTATAACAGGTTGTACAAGGCTGCAATGAGACCCTTGGAGAAGAAAGAACGAACCTACATTGTAATGAAGAAGACAAATCAGGGACGCAAGCCAAGAGGTGCCGGCAAGGGTCCATACAAGCTGGTTGACAAGAGATTGAAAAAGGATATCAAGGGAAAGATGCGATCAGAAGGCAAGAAGGGCAAAATGAAGAGAACTCCCAAAAAGAAGGCAAGGAAATAAATTTCACGATCATAAAAATTTTCTTTTTTGTACAATGACAGGTAAACCCCTTTTACAGTAATATTTGATGTAGTGGTTGTTGTTGAAATTATTACATAGTTAATAATTTATAAGGTTGAGAGAGAATGTCTTGGGACTTTCATGTTATATTTTTTCTTCGTAGAATGAATGACAATATACAAGGAATGTACAACAGATAAGCAATATTTTCACACTTGTAGAGATTTTGTGGCATCTTGAAACTTGGCTACTCTGTAATATCAAGTATGAATGTTCATTAAATTGTTTGAAAGATAAATGGGGATTATTATTAACCTTACAAACATTTGTATAGATTTAATCTTGTGCAAGCTCACCCCTTTAGAACACTTCCATTTCCTTGCTTTTTTTTTTTTTTTTTTCTGTTACTTGTCATTTATATAATCTTCCAAACAAGATCTTTAAAATAATAATAATAATAAAAAAAAAATTCACTCCAATTTCTGTTTTAATTAAATTAAGACATTGCTCAATTGTTACTTGCCTTTCGTTAGTCATTTTTCATTCATTCACACACTCGTGTGTCTCTCTACTCAGTACTCGCTTTTTATAATTTTCTTTTACTTAAGGGATATGTGCAAAATGTATTACAAGTTTATATTAAAACACTTTGAAAATCCCCTTTTCATAGATGGAAACATACTTAAGAGACCCCTTTATATTTTTAATAGGTTTTTTGAATAAGGAAAATAACCCATTCATGATATGTTTTCTGATACAAATTTATAAATCCATTTTTTCAAACCTATTTCCTTGTCTAAAACAAACCATGTTAATGCACAAAGCACTCCACAACTTCAGGCCAGTTTACCGACTTTCATTGTACTTTACAACTTATTTTATTAATAATAGCACTGGCTTTATTTGGCTCCTCTCATTCTCTATATATGTTTAGAAGATGACTGTTTACTATTGTCCATCTTCCCAAGTTACAATACCAATGTCTGAAGCATATGAAATTGATTAAGTATATATTATTTCATAAATGTAAAATTCTGATAACCAACTCAACTGTGGTCCCTTTAAGCAGTTTCTGCTGTTTGTGTGAAGCTCATTTGGATCTTCATATAAAACATTTAGCACCTTACAGCTTATACTTATAGTAAAAATCATTTTGCTACTCTACCTTCCTAAGTGCTACATTACCTGTGATGTCTAACATGTGTTTTGTTCTTTTTTAACCATTGTGGTGTAAAAAAGAAGGAAAGCCTTCTATTTTTTAAGGGCCCATGGTCTGACAGTGGTACCAATGATTAATGGTTACAAAGTAAACAAAGGTTATGTAGCACTACAGAAAGGCATAGTATTGAAAAGGGTAGAGGGAGGTGAGTTAACTATAATCCGAATGACATGACTATCACACTATGAAAAAATTTGGCATGAGCGATGGGTGACTTGAATCTGGCTGTGAGCATTTCAACTGTAGGCTGGGGTGATGGGAAAGACTTGCCACAAGAGCACAAACCTCTTGGAGGGTGATTACACTCATTTTGTGTTTAGGAAGAGGCTTTTGCATTATTTCCATCAATAAACAAGTATGGAATGTATCATATGTGAGCCATGACTCGAAGAGCACCAGCTCCAGGCAGACACAATTTCTATACTCAGGATCCTATTATTGGCTGCCTTGACCAGCTGCACAGATTGTATTACAGAACATTGAATATTATGGAAAAAAGACGAAAAACAAAATATCAATCATTGTTATATAATTATTATGGCCCTGAGTTTCATTACTGAAAAGTCTCGTCAAGGAAGTCTACTACCATCTGGATCAAGCATCTTATATAACAAATATAGACATTGGAAAATGGCATAGTGTCCACTCATGTATGCCTAATGCATATATTTTGGACCATGTGATGACGGTGAAGCATGCAGAAACAATAGGTTAATGATTAGGTGCTGCACACAAACAGTTGTACAGCAGTAGGATGGTACTGGAAAATGGGAAGAATTAGTATATGGATTAAGGTAGGAATAAGCAAAGAGGGAATTAGATCAATTGAAGGATATGTTTGGGTCTGAGGAAGGAGAAAAAATGCTGGATTATGTAAGGATGTCTAACAAGTTGGGAAGATAGGTGAGGGAAAGTACAGGTAAAGGTTGCTGTAAAGCATGCACAAGACAACAGAAAAATAAAAATAAAGACATCCAACAAAACTGATCAGAAATACAAGAACAATTCCATTACTGAAAAGCAGCTCCAGTACCCTCTTGTATGCGAGGTCTGATATCCTTTTAAAATCCCACAACACTTCAACCATTCTACCAAGCAGGAGTAAGTTGGCATAGTAGTATGTGGAACAATCCTCAATTATCCATCAACCGAAACGCCAGCCCGTAAAGACACCTGAACAAAATCCCCACAACAGAAAGCACAATGAGCCTCACACAGACAAGCTTAATATTCCTTCTCAATAAAATTCTCCACAAAAATAGTACTATTTTTTTTTTTTTTTTTTTTTTTTTTTTTTGAGTTGGCCTCTCAGTCATAAATACTTCAATCATATGTAGGACAAGTATATTCTTCATTACTTTCCAAATATCCAAAGGAGTATAATGATTACTGATAGGTATACACAAAAGTGAAGAACAAAATGAAAGACATGGAGAAACTCTTGAGAAAAATCTTTAATTTTATCTAAGTACGAACCATAGTGTTCACACCATAAGCAACTTAGACTGATGAAAGGGTTCCTGTTAACCTATACTTTCTGTACTTTTCCAGTGTTTTCTTTTATACTTGCTGTATGGCAAAAAGAAAAGTGAGAAATAACATCCTCTTGAAGTTTAATTCTGACAAAATGTAGATTAGAAACACTACAGGCTGTTACTGCACAATTCACAGGCATACATTGAAATCAAAGTAACAAAAACCTAAGAAGTAAGAAATAAAAATAAAGGTAGGATGGAACTAATCACCCTTATATATAATGTACTGCAAAGTAATAACAGTTAATTTAAGCTTGCAGTTAAATAACAAAAACAAAACCTTGTTACAGTAACAATATATGCAACAGCACAATGAAGTTGGGATTCTTAATTTATTTGATCTTTATAACAAAACTGATCTTTACATGTTATGGTCTACTTACAATATTGTTCAGTATAAAGAAGGAAACTGCTGTTAGTAATAAACCTTCTGGATATAATTCACAATTAAATCTCACTCAACAATAATTTAAATACAGTGGAAATAAAATACACCCAGTTCAGGATAACAATACAAAACTAACATGTATGTTTTACAAGAACTGCATTACAACCTCTTCAACCATCTTGTAATCACAGTGCTTTTCAAGAGAAAAAATGATATTCCCTTCAATAATAATGGAAGACTTTTTATCATATAACCATTTAAAAAATTAAAGTACACATGTTACAAACTTCAGAGCTTAAGGTAAGGTGAGGTTATTTTCATGAATTTGGTACAGACATGACTAATGCTAATAAAACTTCCACCACAATCCTCATACATATGGATGCACATATTGCAAACAAGCAGAATTGGGCAACTTAATGTCAGTGGTAGGATGCAAACTATTTTTTTTAACTCTTAAAATATAAAATCAACTGATAATATGCAAATGAAATCTCGAAATGAAAACTCCACAAAAAGTAAAGAACAATTTTTCTTTCTTACTGTGCTATCTCACTTCATCTTTGTACACACATTACCGTGTTTGTATTTTCGTTCATATAAAACCATTTTTAAGTCACATTGCTCTGCCAATGATTTAAACATGATAAAATGCTCAATGGTGAACAGAATACAAAATCATGAATTTACAAAAATTGCCATTGGACAATTACAAACAAAAGAGGGAAGAGTAACATTTCTTTCAAAATCAAAATGCGCAGAGAGAAATTGTAATTCTTTTTTAAGAATTACTTGAAGGCAGCAAACTGCTGATTATTTAAATAACCAATTTTTTTTCAGATGACTTTGTGGCACTTCATATACAATGGGAGTTTTGGCACTAAAAAGAAAATGTTTTATGTCATACTTTTCCTTATGCTACCCATTAAAAAAAAAAAAAAATTGTAAAAATTATAAACGTTTGCAATGGATGAAATCTACTAAATCTTAGACAGACAAAATTTTCCTGTTTACCACAAGGGCCTGTGATGATAGTCAACCGTTTAAAGCTTAATAGGCATTTAATTTTCATAAAAACATCCTTTATTTTCAACATGAAAGAACTGGTTATTACATATTTATCTATCTATGGGCAACATGCAAATAATTAAATTTTTTACTGACCACAAAAAGCTTTTCTGCTACAGTGAAAACCCATTAATGACCTACAACATTACGTTATTCCAAGCACATGACACAGACACTTAGGTGCAAGGCAGTTTGCTCTATAGAATTAGGGTCCTGTTCACTCTTATACAATATTGATTGTTTTTAAGCACAGCTTTTCCACCAGAACAGCTGGCACAAAGATCACTTTACAGGGAGGCAATGATACTTATCACAACAGAGTAAATACTTCACTACAGCTGCTTTCTCAAAACAAAAAAGTGATACCAAGCATTACTGAGACCTTATAAAGGAATGTAAAATTGTGTATTTCCAATACAATATTCACAATCACTTGCAGGTAATCTTGTTTTACATTGCTACAATTTCTAAGGCAGTAAATATTATAAAAAAGTAATGTTTTTTTTCTTGAAGATTAATTCCATAATCCAAACCATATATAGTACATAAAAATGCAATTCTAACTGTAAGGAAAGCAAATATATATCACATTATATTTAACATCATCTTGCACAATGCAACCTTAAGTATCATATATATCTATACAAACATCCAAAATTAGTTTAAGTAAATGGATGTACAGTATCATCTACAACGAAGTCATGATAATGGTAATACCTGTACAACAGTGTTGTTCATTTAGCTCTATGTAATATACTATTACAAAAAGATTCATAATATTAATAGCCCTCCTTGCACCAAGAAATACGAAGTATTTTGATTGGTCTAAACAAAATAAGCTACATCTACATGGACTTTCAAAATATACTAATTGAAAAACACTACAAAGAGAACTTAACAAGAACAATATCTAAAACAAAATGTTTAAGGAAAGTATTTTCGGTGAATTCAGACACACACCACTTAAATCATAAAGATACTTTCTGCAACATCATCAGAGAAATGAACTCTACAAAAATAATTCATATAAACTTTACTACTGATACAACATACAAAACAAAAACAAAAAAACAAGAACAAAACAAAAACTATCTTCCCAGTCAGACTTTAAATACTCAAACCAGGTTCTAAAAATAAAGAGATGTTACAATCCTAAGCAATATGATTGAAAAGTCCTTAACACAGCAGATATCAGATGGATAATATCACATCTTGACAGAAGACACACCAAATGACCCAAACTCAAATGGAAGAGTTGTGTGCCAAGAGAGACGTTAAGTATTTGAGGCTAATGTTAGCAATGTAGTTAGTGTCCACAACCTGGATTTTCCACCACGACTATTCATGGCTGCTACCTTGGTCTGCCATCCAACAGCTACTTCTTCTGCCACCAGCTGAGCAACTACTCTTCCAATCAACAATTCAGGCAGCCACAGCGGAATACAGCCTTCAGTGAACAGCAAAGGCTACATGGCAGTCACTCATGATACCGAATAAGTCACTTGCCGGTGCCTCAGGCTGCGGGTTGTCATTACGGGTTCAGCATCTGAGGACACAAAGCTCCCTTATTTTAGTGCCCTTGAGATTTCTGAAATTTGGTACTAGAAATCGGATACAGAATATCTGAAATGCCTTTCAATATGGGAAAAAAATTGATTTGAGCAAGGAGGGTAAGAACACAAAGAAGTAATGATAGGGGAGGAGGAGGAGGAGGAAGGGGTGAGGGGAAGGGAGAGGAAGAAAGGAGAGAAGAGAAGAGGAGGAGAGAGAGAGAGGAGGAGGAGGAGGAGGAGGAGGAAAAGAAAGAGGAAGAGGAGAATAAAGAAAAGAAGGATGGTTAAAGAGATAACTAGAGGCCAGGTAAACAAAATTTGGCATTCAACTTTTACGTTCACTTTCCATCTACAAAATATCAGTTACAAAACTACAAAAAATTACCCTTCTACATACTTTAATACTATTTTAACCATTCACATGACTTACATAAATATATATTTAAACAAATATGTTCTTTGAGCAACATACAACTACATTACATAAGTTCTTTCCTGTTGGTTATAAGCATATCACCAAGTTTAGATTTCATAATTTAATTTACATCTTTGAACATCCTAGTAACATCATCTTTTCACAAGGGTTTTTAATGAAGCACAGTTTCATTTTCCTTAAACCAGGAATGCAGACTTCATAATGTACTTTGCTAGTCTTGAATATCTGCAGAAGGTGAATACTTACCTATCTTCTTCCAAGGAGATTATACAAAGAGAAGAAAAGAATGATGAAGGGCCCAATAGTCTTATAATACTAATCACTACCTATCAAAATACTGATATATTACAAAATCATTTCCAAGATAAAATATCATAGTAAGAATGATGGTTATTACTCTAAACACATGATAAAATTCCAGGTTTAAAGCTACATTCATGGATATCTTACCTTTAGAAGACCCTTTACTGTTTGTGTCTGCTGCTCTTGAAGGAGATGAGCTCTTCCTTGGGGATTGTTTAGTAGCACCTTTTTCTGTAGGCAGTCGTCCGGGGGATTTGCTGATGGAAGATGACCTTGTATGTGTTTTGCTGGAGGAGGGCGAGGCTAAAGGAGATCTGTCAGAACTGAGTGATCTTCGAGACACTCTGGTGGGTGAGGTCAACGAAGCTTCACTAGCAGAGGCTGTTACCAGAGTTCTGTTTACAATAGGTGATGTGAGAGGGGATTTAATGTGAGTGGCTGATTTCAGAGAGACTGTACTTGCTGCTGGTGATCTTGTTAGAGATTTATTAACAGATGGTGGTCTTCCAGGTGATCTTGCTGATGCATTAGTAATAGGTGACCTAACAGGTGTTTTATTAACAGAAGGGGATCTCAAAGATCTTTTGTTCATAGGTGATCCTGAAGGGGTTTTGTTCACAGAATTCAATGGAGACGACCTTGTAGGCGTTTTATTCACTAGGGGCAAAGAGGCTGACCTGACTGGGGTTTTGCTTCCCACTGGTGAAAATGGCCGTGCTGGCGATTCATTCCCTGAAGATGAGCTGGCCACTTTCTTGTCGTGGGATGGCTTAAAGGTTGAGGACTTTGTAGGAGATTTAATATCTGTGACTGAGGCAGTATGCAATTCACTGTTCACTTTAGCGGAGACATTCAACTGTCCTGCTGGTGTGTCACTGCTGGTGGATGGCACATCTGATGATACTTTCTTGAGAAATGATCTACCTATATTACTTCCTTTGGACGAGGTTTCACTTGATGAGCCATTCTCACACGATGAATCTGTATGGGACTCCTTTCTGGAGGCAAGTCTTGATGATGTACGGACAGGTGTGCCACTTTTGGAGGCAAGATTAGTAGTTACTTCAGTGAATGATGAGCTTGAACGAGTTGCTCTGGCAGGTGAGCTATTCCTGGGCTCATTTTTCAACAGTGATGTCCTGTCGTTCTTTGTGCGTGGTGAGGCCAAACCCATTGGAGTATTCTTAAGGGAGCTCTTCTTTGGGCATGCTGGCTCTTCTGGGATCTGGGGGTGTTTATCTTCAGAAGATGAAGCAGTGCTGGATCTGCGACTTCGTAATGGCATAACTTCTATGCTTCCCTATCAAACAATAAATGGTCAGTTAGCAAAAGCTCTGCATAAAAAAAAAAAGATACTGAGATACGTGACTCTGTACTGATACTACCTACTACCAAAATTTTGGCTTCAAAACAGTGCCATAGCTTTAGGCTGACAAGTCAATAATCATATTCATTATATATGGTCAATCTTATCTAACTAATCCATAAATCACACACAAGAATAGCAATAATAACAATACAAAAATAAACAAAATAAATCATCATATAATAAAAATAGTCAAGGAATAATTCCTTGCACAAATAAAGATACAAATAAGTTTTTTGATTAAAGTATCAAAGTAAATTCATCACTTACTGTGCTCTCAGATGAATTAGATGCTACTGACTTCCTTCTACTGCTCCTTCTGGGGGAGAATGGGGCAGATAACAACTCTTGTTTCAAGTCTTGCTTCTTCAAAGTCATGCTGCGACGTGTTCTATACACAGGCGCGGAATCCTCTTTTGAAGTCTCAGCATTTTCATTCTGTAGATCAGGCGATGAATATTTGATCTTGTTAATCTTAACAATATCAGTTGGCTTGAGTTCTGAGGCCATAATTGCAAGTGATGACCTTCTGTTCCTCCTTGTTTTCACTGGAGAATATTTACTTTCTGAGTCCAAATTTAAGCTCGTCTCCTGTGTACTTACACTAGCCACCTCACTGGACTCTTTCACAACAGAAGTATCACTTTCAGCATCAATATCTGGAGCTGCCTGACTGCTAGACCCTGTGGCATGGCCTTTGCCTGAATTTCTTCTGGGGGATGGTGTGGCTGCTGGTGTTTCTAGAACGGGAGATTTATTTGAGATGATTTCTTCAGAAAGTTCTTGCGAAGCACTTTTCATGGAGGATTTTACTTTGACTTCTGTTTCTGTATTAACAGATTTTTGTTGTTCTGATACAGTTATATCTGTACTTTCTTCAGTATTTTCTGCAGCAACTTTGGGTGATTTGGGTGAAAATATCTTGGTCCTCTGAATGCGTGATATCTTACTAGCAGGAGATCCAGGAACACTAGCAATATGAGTTGTCGTCTCATCCTGCTCTTCTGGGATCATTTTCTGAGGAGATCTAATGCCACCTCCACTCCTCCTCTTGTTCCTGCGGCTCACTGGTGTAACAGTATCAGGACCACCAGACAGCGTGAAACTGTCCTTTGGCAGGTTAGCCTCATCTCCCCCTGGTGAAACCAACTCACACTCTTCATCACTGACCTCAGGGCTTATTAGGACTTCTTTGTTCAAGACGGCTTCTGAGACGAGCTGAGCTTTGACTTTTGGAGAAGAAAGATGAGGAGAATCAAACTTCAGATCATTGACTCTATCATCTTTCTTAGATCCTTTTCCACCAGATCTACGTTGAGACAAGGACCTTAATCTAGTGAAGGATTTTGGAGTTGTTATCTGTGTTTCTAGATTTTCTGAACCCTCCTCTTTATTCAGTGTGAAAGAACTGGGCAATCCATAGGATAAATCTTCAGTATCATCTACACCAGATGTAGAGAGAACCTCAAGTTCTTCATCTACATCTTCAGGTAAACAAGCTTCAACTTCATGGTGGTCTTCCAACACACTTCCCTTTGAGAGCTGATCACAAATAACAACCTCCATGGATTCAGTTTCTCTAAGTTTTACTTGATTTTCAGAATCAGATACATGACACACAATATCAGATTCGGTTGCATCCGTGCCCTCTTGCATGTCTTCCGCTGAAGCACTGACCTGATTTGCTAATACTAACTTTTGTTCCTTTTCTTGGATCTGAGATTCACTTGTTGCATCTGCATTTGTATCATATATTCTCAAGTCACTTACAGCAGCTTGTATCTGTTTTTCATTATTATTATCACATTCAGCAAGGGGTTCCTCCTCAATCTGAAGAAGACTGCAAGAGAGACTAGAAGAGCTGAAATTTCCATCCAATCCTAGAGACAAGTTATCAGAGTCAACTTCTTCTTCAGTAATCTTCATAATCTCTGTACTATTATTTTCTACTTTTTTAGTTATTTTAGGACTCCCCATCACATCAAATTTCTGCTGATGTGCCTGCTGCGAGTGCATTTCAGTATCCGAAAAAGATTTTCGTCTTACGTTTCTTGTCAGAACTCTTGTTGCTAAGCTTTTTGAGGTGACCGCTGCATCAGAAAGTGCACCTGAAGGTAGCGATCGCCTCTGTGTTTTGCTTTTTTCAGAGATTTCACTAGCAAGTAGTCTGGAGGAACGTCTTGTAACAGGGGATGACACAGGGTCGGTAGCATTCTTAATAGGAGTTCCTGAAGCTGAAATAATGGGTGTAGCACTTGAGGATATGCTGTGTGATCCTTTCAGATCATTTAAGAAGAAAGAAGTGTCTTCACTGGTAATATGAGTACCTGTGGAGTCCTGCATAGTTTCTAAGCTGCACAAAGAATCACATTCACTAATATTTTGATGAACATCACACACAACTTCGCTCAAAGATTTCACATCAATATCATTACCCATATCATTGGGAGCTACAAGCTGATCTGTTTCTAAAGCATCTGGATGAGGCCTTGTAACTTCTGAACATGCGCTGCGAGTCCTTTGCCTATGAGGGGATTCCTTTCCTGCGGTGGGTGTCACTTCAGAAGTCATGCGACTTCTCCTATTTCTTATTGGAGAGACATCAGAGTCTGAGGCATCCTGCAAAACAGAGTGCGAAATGAGATTTCTACGTAATGACCTAGTCCTTTTGCGAACTTTTGGCATAGGATCCTCTGATGCATCACTACTGGCTTCGTATGCTTCATCAGCTCCTTCAGTGGACTCAGAATCTTCTTCTACAGAATCTACAGGTATTGAATCTTTCAAAGGTGGTGCAGATTGGGAATTCTTATTATCTGGAGAAATATCTGGGTTTTCTGGGAACTCATTGTCAATTCTGAGGGGTTCTACATCTGGTGATTCTGATCTGAAAGAATTATTAGCTGCAGACTTATTCTCAACCTCAATGTTATCCCCCAGATTTTTGTTCTTAATATTTTCACTGTTAATGTCACTTTCCTTGTTGTAATCTTCAGAAGGTACTTCATTTTCATGTATATGATTGGTATCTTCATCTTTTTTATTCTCTATAATGGCTCGTGAATCTATACCATTCACCTTCCTATCCAAGTCCTTTACATGATTGGCATGATTTCCATCCGTGGATTCGCTGGTACTTACTGGACCATTGGATAACTTTTTGTTTTCTGAAGCTAAATCTGCTTCTTTTTCCTTCGCTGTACACTCCTTAATATCAATTTCTTCTAATCTGTCTTGAATATTCTCCTTAGGAACCAAGTTTTCTTTATATCCACTAACTGAAGCTATTCTACCAGTATCCCTAGCAATTGTCTGCAGTAGTATTTCCATGTCCCCATCGCTCTCTAATCCATGTTCACTTCCCCTTTTTTCTTCAGTGTGGCTATTGGGAGTACAATTCACATTTACTACTTCACATTTTCTCTCATCTGTGTCTGGGTTTCCAGCATCATCTCCATTACTGACATGGTGGCCATTTTCCTTGGTTTTCTTCCTTTGGAATTCTAGCTTATCCATTTCCACTATATTTTCTGCTTTTCTTTTTAGTTCCTGTGCTATTAGTTTATCATGGTAATGTTTATTTTCTTCATCTGTAAACATCTTTGTAGATTCATCACATGGAATGATGTCAGAGTCAGATGCAGATGCTTCATCTATATCTGATGAATCTTCAAGTGTATTTTCATCTTTTTGAGAAACCTCAGGCTCTTTTTTCTGAATGACTTCAACAATTTCCAGTTCTGAATCTAATTCTTTTCCTGTAGAAGTATTGCCTATTTCCTTGGTCTTATCATTAACAGCATGATCCTTGTTAGGGGTTTGTGTTACAGCTACTACTGAATCAGTTTCAGAAACCTCAATAATATCAGAAGTATCATTCTCTTCAACTTTTTCATTCAAATTACTTTTCTCTCCAGGTTCCTCAGTTGATGACCTGACACTCGAAGCATCATCTGAATCTACACTTTGGTGATCATCGTCATCGTCCATGTCAAAAACTTCAAAGGTCATTCCTGAAGGACTTTGAACTATTCTACTACAAATTTTGTTAGCAGTTCTTTGGTAGGGTGATTTTTCTTTATTTGGGGTCATGTCTTCTTTTGGCATCAAATCTGTGACAGTAAAGCTAACACTATTACGTCTTATTCTCTGCCGCACTTCAATGATATCTTCTCTTGTCATGGTTACCTTCTCCCAGGGGCTAGTCATCACTCTCTCTTCATTTCCTCCAACTGATGGACTAGAGCCCAACTGTTTCCTCTCCTGACTCAGATCTTGTAATCTTGTTATCACTGGTGACGTCTTCAACTTCTTATTTTTGCCATCAGTAGCCACTTCATTGAAGAGACAGAGCTTCTTCTTTGCCTCCGGAGTTTTGACCTCTTTCCTCTCAACCAATTTGTGAACTGCGTCTTCTATCTCTTCATCACCCATGCTATTTAGCTCCTCACTCCTACTTACTACCTGCTGATTCTTCTTCACAATATTCACTCTGCCTTTGTGAATTTGGCTCTCTGCACTTCGAGTTGCATCTGAAAGTCCCACCTCCTTTCCTTTGTGGTGCGTGTCAGCTAACTTTTGAACAGCCTTTATGTACTTATCAGTCCTGATTTTCTCTGATGCACGTTTCAACATGGCATCATTCTTCTCCTTACTATCAATCCTCTCTTTAGTGTCATCAACAACAGTTTCCAATTTTCTTTTTGTTTTCTTATTTTTGTCCAGAACTTCTATATCATTTTCTTTAAGTTTCTCTTCACTCTTTGAAGCAACCTTTTTCACTTTGACCAAAACTGGAGTGGTTTCTTCTACATTCTTACGCTTTTGATTTTTCAACTTTTTCTCACTAAAACTATCGTACATTTCTTCCTTACTTGTTTCTTCACGTTTTTCTACTGGTTTCTGAACACTCTGGACTTTCAGTTTCTTGATATTCTCTGGCAATTCATCATCCCCTTCTCTTTCCCTCTGCTTTAGCACACTCTTTCCTGGTTTCACATTCTCTTGTTCTTTAATTTCATCCATCTTTGTCATTTCTTCTGTCTCTTTCATAGAAATGGAATCATCATTTCCTTTGCCTGCATCTATCTTCTTATTCTGGTTCTTCTTCTTCTTCTTCTTCTTCTTCTTTGTCTTCTTTTTCTTTTCATCATTATTCCCTGTGGTTTCAGCTTTGATTTCACTGTGCTCACTGGTAATGGTTTCTTTTTCTTGAACAAGTGTGTTCTTGTTCTTACTGTTCATTTCCTTGTTTGTTGTATCACTGGTGAGATCCTGTTGTTTTACAAAACATTTTCCATGCAAAATCTGTGGAGGAAAATGAAGACACTGATAAGGAATATGAAAGCAATTATATATAAGGCTAGGCCTATACAAGCTTATAATATGCAATATCAGAAACTTATTTATAGATAACAATAATGTGAAAGAATAAAAAAATAATAATAATAACAATCAACAGTAAGATTAAAACCTATGATCCAGATGCTGTAACCATCAAATCATGAAAAAAATTAGCTGAAGGGGCAGGTGACATGAACATGCCATCATGGGAAAAACTGGCTGAGAGCCGGTGTGAGGTGAACTTGCCAACATGAGAATTTCACCAGAGGGCCGGGGTGACAGGAATGACTTGCCCTAAGTGCACAGATCTCTTGGAGGGTGATTAGACTCATTGGGCATTTAGGAAAGGAATTTTGCCTTATTCATTTCCATTGATAAACAAATTTACCGCCTGTGAGCCATGACAGGAAGAGTGCCGGCTCCAAGGAGGGCACTACTTCCATGTTTAGAATCCTGTTCCTACTCGCCATAACCAGCAGTGCAGATTGTATTACAGATAATTGAATATGAAGAAAAAATAACAAAATGCTACTTATTGTTATCATTATCATACTGAATCATGGTCTACCTAGAGAGATGATAAGGAAAACAGTCTATTATCATCTGGATGAAGCAAATCAGATGACAAATATAAATATTGGAAAATGGCAAAAAAGCTAATAATGCTAATGCCCAAAAAGAGACAATAACATTGCAAAGGGGAAGCATGGAATCTTAAACTCACACACAAGTGTTCGTGTGCGCATTGTCTACCAGCCACACAGCTGCCTGTGTGGCCATTCAAGTAAACCTAATGTTCGGCTTTTGGGCCATGTGATAGCACTGAAACATCTGGATCCAATGGGTTAAGAGGACAAAAAGAAAAAAGTTCATCTCAAAATTCCTTGAAGAACAAATCCAACACAATACTACTGTCTTACACTTACATTCAAAGTTGCTGAGACCGTCATCCTCTTCAAGATAGTCTTTGTTGTGAAGTCGTTCTCCTTCAACCAATTTAGATTGTTCTGACACGCCCATTCCTTAAATGACTGAGGGACGGGCAATGACTTTATGATGTACATCCTTGTGTTTGGAAGCTGAAAAAAAAAAAAAAACAATATCATATTAAGGGGACCGTCCCTGAATAGAGCAGCGGAATTAAGGGGGTTTGAGGGGTAAAACTATTTATTTATTCTATTTTTTTTTTTCACGTGTCTGCGCAGAAGATTCCTTGTCTCAGAGGGTTATGAATCAGGGACAGTCCCCTTAAGGACAATGCATCGGACTTGAGGAATAAATAATTCAGAGGGCCTTCCATCTTGGGAAAAACAATAAAAATCAAACAATTAAATAATAATAAAAACAATAATAATAATAATACATTCATTAATCATTCAATTTACAAAATGGTTTTGATATGTATACATTTTTTACATCTTTTAGGAGGGGGAATTAGGGGGGAAAATTCTTCAGTGTACAGGACTTGTTTCTTATTACATTCAATCTCATTTTCATTTGTACAGAGTAAAACATAATGATATAGATAGCAATGAAATATACATCTTTTGGTGTGCAAAATTAAGCTCTCCAAATGCCTTGAACCAAAATGCCTTTTAAAAACTTGAAAAATCATGCCCTTTTAGGGGCCTGGGGGTTAAAGCCTCATTTGAGGATTTGCAGTTCAAGTAGGATAATTTCCTTTAAAGAACAAGTTGTCAGATTATCAAATGCCATAAGAAGTAAGCTTCACTAGCAATACATACCAAAATCATAATTTCCACATCATTACACAGTTTGACAACTTTAACCCACTTACAACTGGTGTTCCACATATGAGACACCTGGAAAGGTAAACATTACCAAGCATTCCGCCTGTGCAACACTAGATCAGAGCTTATACTCTGATTTTGTCACCTGTGGTGGGCAGCGCACGGGCAGATTCCCGGACTCCTCTGTGAGCCAATTTCGAAGCCACTCGGAAACTATTATTTTTGGCTCGAAAATGTAACGTTGCTAGTGGGTTAATAGGATGCCTGCCAGATTATCTCAAGGTAACAAAAGCACTGCAGTCTTAGTTAAGTAACTGAAATGGACCTAACACCTGTTGCTCAAATTATGTCATTCATAAAAAAATTAAAAAGGGCAAACCTATACCATATCATACTGCTTACCTTTGATTTTTCTTCCATGAAGAGCCAAAGTTTCCCTAGCAACAGGAACTTTAGGTACAGTTTTGGGGTTAAGGAAGTTTGCACCTTGAATGTGTGGAAGATTCTCCTGAAAAACAGCAAATTGTAAATTACAACCACGAAACAGGAACATACCCAATCACTTGCTTCCTCCTTTTGCATTTTTCTATTCAAATAAACTCAGTAATGACTTCATGTCCTACTGTTTAATTTTTTTTTTTTTATGTAACAATCTACAATTTTATCAACAAAATGCAAGGCTTGTCACAAGCCTAGAGGTAAGAAAACAATTTTCAAATTGACGTATCTATTAACTGTGTATGGAGTCAATGATATTGTTGAAATACTTATGAATGAAGCAAACTCATCCCTGCACATAGCTCTGCTTGTCAAAGGAAGATAAAAGATTTAGATTATTTAAGATTCCGTCAATGATCTGTACTTCAAATCTAAGATAACAAATTTTGCATTATGATTCCAAGAAACTGGGCAAGCAGAAGAGTAACCTCAAGAGTTTTTAATATCCTTCTTTCTTGATTCATGCATGTGATAACTGATTGCTCATCATTTTTTTCTTTCTTTCAGTAATGCATTCTGATGCAACTATAAAGCAGATTCTAACATAAGGAAGTGAAGAGCTGATCAAACTTAAGCTGATATATCAAATTCTCCAAATCATGGTACTTTCCCTACCTTCATAACTCTCTTACTTAACATTTAAATTGTGATTATTAACAGGATAAATAATACATTTAACTATTATTAACACTGAGGATATAAAATATGCTTAACACACTGTCCCTGGGTACCAGCACTCTCGACTGTTTTATCAATTTTGTTTACTCACAGAAAGCTTCCCAAACACACACTTAGTTAACCAGGATTCAATTACACTAGACCAGTGGTTTTCAAACCGGGGTTCATTACCTCTATGATGGTAATGAAACGGTTTCTAGAGGGTGGGGGCGGGAGTAATGTGGCATTTCCTAAAAGTAATTATTCCCTGAAGAAAACTGATATATAATTGATATATAATAACTAAAAACAACTGAATATCTAAATAAATGAATAAAAAATTAAATAAACAAATGTCAATAATAATTAATAATGATGATCAAATATCTATTGCTGATGAAAGTGATCCAAGACAGTGAAAGGTCAATTTTTTTCAGGAGAGCTTGAGACAAACATTCTATTAAAGGATGATATAATCAAATAATGTAGCAATGTCTGTTTCCTCTTAATTACCAAAGAAATAATGCATTCATTCCTATTTGTGATGAAATCAACAATGCCTTGACTCTATTCTTTTGAGAAAGGAAAAATATCTAAATCTTATATTTCTTGTGTAAAATTGGTTTCATACATAGAAAATGCATTGAAAGTTAGGAATTCCTGCATTTTCCTTTCCTTGAACTTTCACATAACAAGGGGATTGGGGCAGCGGTAATAGTGATCTTTCACAACGTTACTAAAAAGTTGAGAACTACTGCAATTAACCTACCTGAAAGTTTTTATCTTTATACTAAGCTATCATTACTATCATTTTAACTTAATCAACAGGAAAAATAGGAACAAAATTGTAAACATTTCTTCATAAATGGAGTAAACAGGTGAGGGTGGGTAGACCTTGTAATTGACCCTGTGACTAAGAATTACTAGAGCCATCTATGTGTAAACAAAATCAACAAAAACAAATTACGGAAGACAGTGCTTGTAAGCATGCACTCCATAATTAACGCAGTTAACAAAATCAGATAATCAGCCCCTTCATAAATTGCTAGTCATCTACTGGATATTTTCAAACCATTCAAGGAACTTTATCAAAATACACACTTCATATATTGCAGAAAAGTGACCAAGAATTCACATACTTGATAAGAGGTATAAACATAAGTGGGTTCCTTATACTGCTGTAGATAAGTGTCTTACACTGGAGGAGTGTATCCAGGATGAGGTCAGGAGATGAACCTGAAATGAGACTCAAATTCTCAGTCATGTCAACTAATGAAAAAAAGACTAAATCAACTGCAATATTGCCATCTAAAAAGAAAAAAAATGGAAACACAGGAAGGGGGAAATATAACAGAAATGGCAGGGAAGAGAGGGGGAAAGGCAGAAAAAAATATGAAAAAATAAAGAAGCAGTTTGATGGAGAGGCACGTCTGAACAGAGGATGGAAAAGAGAAAAACGGGCAGGAAAGGAAGAGAGAAGAGTAGGGGATAGAAACATAGGGTGCAGCCAGGAGGGAAAATGGAAGAAAGTGGATGAACAGTAAAGACAAAAAGAAGAGAAGAAAGAGGAGAAAAGAGAAGGAAAGATGAAAAACAAAATGAGCATGTTTTCACCCATATAAGCATATTAGCAGTTTAGTGATCTTAGACCTGAAATTGA